GCTTGGAGGACACAGGGGCGTCCTCTCTCTTGGACCGTGGGTCTCGTGACTGAGGGTGGAGGTGAAATCTGCGAGGCAGCTTGGTATTGCAAGGGTTAAGGCAGTTCACGCGGAGGCGGGAGGTTCAAGCCCACCTCGGGCATCTGTGGGGGGCAGAGAGGCCTGAGGGTACGCCCAATGATGACAGTCCAGGGGAGCCTGTGGGGCCACGCCGGGAATGGGGCGTCCCCCGCACCCACCGGGGCCGCAGCACATGGCGCGGGAACCCAGCTAGTCCACACAGAGGGAGGACAGACAGCTGTGGGCTCGCACACCCACACTCTCGCGCCAGGCATCAAGAGCAGGCCATGTGGGTGCACCTGCCTGGCCTAGGGGCCTCTGTCCACCTGCTGCACCTGAGGCAGGCGATGCCCTGGGAGACTCTGCAGAGCCCAGCGGCACCCTGAAGAGTCTGGGGTGTCCAACCCCACTGGAGGGTAACCATGGGTGCCACGGGGGCCTGTGTGGCAGGAAGGGGCCCCGCCCAGAGCTGCCTGCTGCCGCCTGGGGCTCCGAGTGGGTATGCTGGGCTTCCTCCCAGCCATCTGGCAGAAGGGCTGTAGGTTGCGGAGGGTCAGGCTGGGCTCACAGTGAGCTCTGTGGCCCGCCACCTGCCCGCTGACCAGAGAGGGCTGCTGGCAGGGGGGGGCACAGGTCCGTGGCCCCCACCCCTTTTGTTAGGGGGTCTCAGTGGAGGCTGACAGGGAAGGCACTGAGGTGGGGTGAGGGGCCGCCCGAGGTGAGAGGGTCCTGCCCTGGAGGGGCTCAGACAGAAAGAACCCTAAAGGGATGTGGGGTCCAGGCCGGGCTGCGGGTGCTGCACGCACCAGGCACAGGTTGGGGAGCGTGTTCCAGGGGCTCACACGAGGGGCGGGGCAGCAAGGTGCAGAGGCTGAGGGGCTGAGAGGGCAGGGCTCAGCCCTCGGCCCCACAGCTAGCCAGACTGTACAGGGCAGGATGGGATGGACAGACCCAAGGGCAGAGGTGGGACACACAGACAGACAAATGGACGGGCCGAGGTAAAGCTTGGCACGAGAGCTCTGCTACGCCCAGCAGGGAGACTGATCTGTGAGGAGGCCACAGGGGACATGGCAGGGCCCACAGGCCGGGGGGTGAGGGACAGGCACCAGGGACTGGGGGACCCAGCTTGGGAGGCTAGTCTCGCAGACAGTGGCCACTCTGCTGTCCAAGACCCAGGCTGATACGACCCTCAGAGGGTGCCCCATGGGAATGGGCAGCACGGGGAGGGTGAGAAATGCCCCCCCCCCAGACAGGTCCCCAAGGTTCCCAGGACGGAAGGCGCCCCGTGCGCTGGGCTGATAACACGTGGGACCCCCTTACTGTGGTGACGTCACCCCCCAGACTGGGCACCTCACACTTCCGCGGCGGCGGAGGGGGGGGCACTCAACAGGCTGCTGCCGGTGAATAACGCTATGGGGGGGGGTACCTGCTCTCCAAACACCAATCAGACTGCTC